TTTTTATATTTAAAGAATTTTTATATTTTTTATATTTAAAGCGAGTTTTTTGGGCAGTGTAGAGTAGGGCTTGTTGTTTGTCATTTCTCCGATCACAAATGCAGACATGGTTTTATGTTTACGAGGCGCGATACGCAACGCTACGCTTAAAAAGACAGTATAAGTCATTATAATTCGTAATTATGTCCCCACTGGATGCAACGAATGCCTCGTTTATAATGGGTTTTCATGTTTTTGAATCATCGCTCCGGCCTGACAGGGCATCATCACAATGTGGTAAGGGGCGTAACATTTCCGTCAGATGCTTGAGGTATTCGGCCAATCACAATGCACTGGATAGCTGGCCAATCAGAGCACACCTCGCTTTTTTAGACCGATGAGCTTTTTAAAAATCGACGCGTTTCAGAAAGGCGGGGCATAGAGGAGAAACAATAATGTACAGTATGTGGAAAATAATGTGTTTTTTGAACCTTAAACCGCATAAACACATTTCATTACACCAAATACTGTTCTTTTTAGCAGCATCATATGACCCCTTTAAACTTTTCTTCCCGAGGGTGTGAAGAATCCAACGGCTAACTTTTAGTGCTAAATATATTTTTGGGGGGGGTTGGCTGCTACTCATGGCTGCTAGTTTGCATGCAGGCTAAATAAAGTTACACACCACCTAAGTTACACTGCAATACTAGAGGGTTGGTAGTGCAGAGGGTTGTTAGCTTCCAGTTTGTGGTATTTTACTCATTTTTTTTCCTCAACAATCTGCATAAAGACACAGTGACCCGTGAGAATATGTGACTGTTAATAAATCGCAGTTGCAGCAGTGGGCAGTTTCCGTGGGTTAGCCCGTTAGCATGTTAGCCGGTTTCCTGAGTGCACTGCCCTAAGTTACTTTGTACTCACATTGCCCAGCTCTTTGGTCCGGTCCCGCATTCTCGATGTATCTTATATCCAACTCGGATGAAAAGTTCCTGTCTTAAGAGACGTAGCACATCTGTCTGCAAACTCAAAACCTAAAAGAGGGAGTTTCCATTCTAAGTCACATTTCACGCCAGCCAGCTTCCACAAATAACTTTCAGAGATTGCTGATGGGCGCTGTGAGGTGCCTGAATGATAATATATAAATAATACGGATCAACTTCAGTTATGCTGAGAGATCAAAATGGGGCGATGTAGTTATATACGAATTTGTCCCTTTCTTCTTCTGTTTTAGTTTGCGGAATTATGAAAAACGATCAAGGCTTTTACTGCCCCCCGCTGGACAGATATGCATGTTTACATTAATTCACTATGGCGAAATATAGTATTCCACACGGATCTCAAATGCAAAGAATAATGAAGGTCTGTAAGTTGGTGAATGTAACTTTATGAAAAGTGACTGTATAATATAAACGTATATAAGACCAATAGCTTTTTTCATGTAAACAAAGGAAATGAAAAGAAAATATCTAACAAAATTATTTGCTTAAACAGCCTTGGAAAACAGACAATTATATTTAGCAATTAAAAAGAGAAAAAATATGTAGGAAATTCATACATTGTATGTCTAATTGTAGATTCATAATTAGTAAAACAGATAAATTATCCATTTGTGGATAACAGTTAAAATCTAAAGTTCATTCATTTATGACTGCAAGAACATTTCAAATCTTAAATTAATGCAAAGTTTCCCTTTTTCAAAGAACAGAAAATACAGATGAATGAAGCTCATTCACAGGCCAGTTTGCCGTCAAAGGAAGACAGAGTGATGGCAAATGCCTGTAGAGCACACATGGGAAAGCTGTAGTCCATGGAAAACACATCTTCTGCTACCCGCCCAAACTGCATCACAATGTAGTCCACTGGAGAGAGATATTCATTGACATTATTAGAATTAGAATTAGGAATTGTAATATTTCTCATATATTATATGATATTGCATCTACAAACACAAAGACAGAGATACAAAATGAGAAAAAGAAGGATAACCTCATTCACCATTATCTGGATGGACAATTTGAAAGTTTTTCACAGATGCCTGAGTAACTCGGCCATGGAAATTGAGCACATACGACTGCGTTTGCTCATTCCAGCTGGGTGATTTATTTACAAGGGTGACAAGATTCTCTTTGTTGCTATTCTCATATCGGGTGAGCAGAGACTCCAGCTCCTGGGACATGCAAATAGATGGTGCTTTTAAGCATGACAATAATGTCAAAGGTTAAATAATATATATTTTTAAAAACTACATATTATTGATAAAATATGTAACACAAAAGTATAAGTAAATGACTAATCAAAAGACACTAATTTCTGAGATCCTAACCTGATTGTCCAGCTTCTGTTGTCGGACCTCTGCGTCCTCCATTTCTTTTGTTGGGAAAGAACAAATATCACAATTTTGATAGTATTCAAATAATCCACTATGTTATTATTGTCATAAACTCACCAGTCAGAATTACACGCTCAAATCAGCGATCAAATGAAGCCGAAGACTCATTGTCCCTGTCTGTCTCTGCAGCTCCATATGACATCCCCACCTGCACGCAACCGAAGCTTAAGAAGATTACAGAGGATGAAGTTCTTACACTCAACACTCCACTGAGACACCACGTAGTATAGATCCTTCATCATTACTGACATCAGACACTATATTTCACAACTGAAAACAGCACCAGTGTCCCAATATTAAGATATTGGTAGTATAATACCAGAACTATTATACATTTCTGAACCAAAATAAGCATTTTATGCAAGTCTTTTATGCAAGACTAAACATTGTTTATACAGGCACTGGTCGATTTTGCGATTTTGCTTCCTTAACTTGTCTTCTTTCAGACTTGTGGAAAGAAAACATCCTAAATACACAGTTAATTAACATTTTATTACACTTTATCTATTTGTGTCTGTAGATTTCAATTACAATACATATCTTTAAAAGCTGTTTTAAATTAGTTTTTTCTCATGCACTGAGCCAGAAATCTCCACGTAAGTAGCAGTTTCGCCAAACTTTCCAGTTTTATTCTTTATCTATATTCTTAAGGTTTTATATACTGTGGGTGTTTGTTAGGCTACTGTATCATTTGCCAGATTTACAAAACATTTTGCGTGGTAAACATGGTAATTTGTTTCGGGCTATTGACAGTCTTTTCTGATCTGTGGAGTACTAAAAGAGATATCCAAAATTCCCTCTGTAAAACCTTTAACTATAATATGGCAATTAAATGAAACAAGGATTTTGAACCTTTATTCAGTGTTCAGAGGGCCAGTTGCAAAATACTTAAACTAGTCTTACAAGTCATCAAATTTTTTTTCGTCTTTAAGACAGGTTATAACTTTGTTTAAGTTGGTTACATAGAAAGTTGTATCCAAAGAATATGACTGATTACCCCTTGGCTAACTGCTAGTTGGGCAGACTAGTTCTTAACAGAGGATAGTTTATGCAACTGGCCCCAGATTTCAGGAAATAATTGCAAAATAGTGCATATTTAATTACTGTAGCTAATGTCTCATTTGCATGTTTAAACATAACATTTCAGAAAAAGTGTAGTACAAAACAATTGCTTAATATCCTTTGATTAACATGGGAAAGGATATCTATTAGTTAAAATGTTTACCATTCACCTGTAGTATCTTGTTTTAATTGTAGGCTACTCTACAGAGAATACATTTTCGTTACCGGTAAAAGATAAGCCGTAACCTACATACAAGCTGTGTCTCAAAGTTTCTTACTTGTTTTAGCATCATAAAGCATAACTCATAAGCAGACTAACTACCCGTAGATGGCAGTATCTCACCTCAGCTTGTTTATATATTCACAGCTGAAGAAAAACGAAACTGATCACGTTACTCGCTCATAATGTTTTGACGTGTTTTTAATCCGTTTTATCTGTATGTGTAATACAAGCTAAGTGACATTTAAGAAAAATCACAATTCATTACGGACGGATGGGATGAAGGTACGAATTTTACATTTTGACGTTCGTGTGAGCTCATTAACTTGCGTTAACGTTACCTGAAATACAACCTGGAAATAGAGCACTATTACAGTAAGTATCATACCAATAAACCTATCTTCTAGCTATTCTCTTGAGTAAGAAGTGCTGTGACAGATAACAGACAAGTTATCGAATTAAAACCCACTACACTTATGCCAAAGTATTCCTCTACACAGGTTTGCTATAAGTAACTTGTTCAGCTTCAGTGCATTTACCCAGCAATCACGGGTAAATCATATTATTGACCACAGAACTGACAAATAATCATCATGATTAATGGCTGTTTAGAGGAAGAGGAGGGGCAGATGATTCATCACAAGGGTTAAAAGAGCAAGTCATGAGATGTTTGTCCCCTAGATACTCAAATCAACAATTAGTGATGTTTTGGAGAGTAGACAGTACCAGGTCTGAGGAATCTGTTGATTTCTCCCTTTATGGATTTGTGAAAATATTTCCTTTCCTCAAGTTATGGAAAAACAAAGACAGAAAAGACAAAATCATGTAAGTTAAAAAAAAAAAAAAAACTAGCAAAACATGCATGATAAGGGATGTTTTGTTGTTGTGGTTGATGACTCATGTTGCAGTGGTTGGTTTTCCACAGATGTCCACTGTGCCATGTTACCTCTGGTAGGATGATCAAAAGTCAAGAGCAGGATGTAAGATCTCTTTCTTATTCTTTCCATTGTGTCTGTGTGATGTGCAATGACAGATCTGAATATTGCACTAAAGCAATGAGATCTTATGGGTTTAAGTCATACAGACATGGAGACATAGCAGATTACAAAACAGCTGATTTGACACAAGAGGTTATGCTGTTGATAGCAATGGACCACAGGATTGTTTTTTTAAAGGTATAAAATGCCATAAATGTTTGATATTTGTATATTTTGGTCTTGAAGATGTTTCTCTAACTTTTTTTCCAAAGGAATTAATTGCTGTGAGAGTTCAGGATCCTCGCGTTCAAAATGAAGGGTCGTGGATCTCATATGTGGACTTCAAAATTTTCCTTCATGTGAGTATTTTTGCCTCAAGGACTTCTAATATTACAAGACCACAATCTAATAATGTGACCCTTTCCAAGTTCCAAAGACTTTTTAATACTTCTCTGGATAAGAAAACAGATTTAAATGTTAAGATGAATTTATAAGCCATTACATTTTTTCCCCCCCAATATTTAAATTTGCAACTGTCTGTCATCCTGTATTGGTTACAGTATTGGTGTTGATTAAATCACAGCCATGTCCTCATATCATTATTGCTTTATGGGGGTTTCCTTGCTACATGAGTTATATATATATATATATATCTTATAGTTCTTTATAGCTATATATCTTTAGTTCAGTGCTTCATTTATATGAATACCTAGAGGGCAGGGTGGGCTTTGTCGGATATATTTTACATAATACACCATCTTATATCACCATCTTAATAGCCAAATATTGGCCGATATATTAGTCTTTCGCTAATATATGTTTTTATTCCACTGTTGTTCAATGCATGTTTTTGTCTGCCCTGGTGTTATCTGATCTGAATTTGGTCACTTACTTGGTTTCTGTCACCAGACAAACAGCAAAGCATTCACTGCCAAAACATCCTGTGTGAGGCGGCGATACAGTGAGTTTGTGTGGTTGAAGAAAAAACTGCAAAAGAATGCTGGTCTGGTGTAAGTTCCTTTGCACAAACAAATGACTGTATAGCTGCATATATGTCTCAGCCAGTGCACCTCAAAATAAAAAAAAAGTATATATATATATATATTCATGTATTGTAAGGGTTTCCTTGAAGCAATAAAGGCACAAAATATTACATTGCAAGTATGTGAATTATGAAGTAATGTTCTAACGCCTATATATACTGTAAATGCAGTGCTGCTTGAACGTTTGTGAACCCTTCAGAATTTCAAAAGATCATCAGATTTTCACACAAATCCTGAAAGTTGACTAAGAGAATCCAATCAAACAAATGAGACAAAAATATATACTTTGTCATTTATTTATTCTGGAAAATGATCCAATATTACATATCTGTGAGTGGTAAAAGTATGTGAATCTCTAGGATTAGCAGTTAATTTGAAGGCAAAATTAGGTGTTTTCAATCAGTGGGATGACTATCAGGTGTCAGTGTGTGTCCTGTTTTATTTAAAGAACAGGGATCTATCAAAGTCTGATCATGTTTGTGGAAGTGAATCATGACATGAACAAAAGAGGTCTCTGAGGACCTCAGAAAAAGAGTTTTTGTTGCTTATCTTGCTTATCAAGGTTACAAAACCATCTCTAAAGTGTTTGGACTCCACAAATCCACAGTCAGACAAATTGCACAAATTGCATAGATCCTTCCCATCTGTGAAACGTGGTGGTGGTAGTATCATGGTTTGGGCCTGTTTTGCTGCATCTGGGCCAGGACGGCATGCCATCATTGATGGAACAATGAATTCTGAATTATACCAGCAAATTCTAAAGGAAAATGT